AGTTATTAGTTGCCTCTCCCAAAGGCCTAAAGGGTTTGGTCATCCTCTGTAATACTCGGACCCAGAATTTAGTCTGTAATTAATTTTAAAACTTAAAAAATATATAAAAATCAAATTTTAAAATTAATAAATTTTTATTTAATGTGAAATTAGAAAAAAAAATAGGTTGATGGTGAAATTGAAAATAATTTTGAGAAAAATGAGTGAAAATTTGGGTTCGAATGATATTTTTGAAAGAAAAATTAAAAATTGGGGATCAAAATACATTTTAAAAAAATTACACCACGTAGGACCGCCCACTCAGCAGCCCCGACGAACTGGAGCACGCCGCATGGCAAGGCACGCTGACTCGGTGCCACATAGGAGACCACGCTAGCGATCTATGTGCCCCACGATCGGATGGCCCGGAAGTGTTTCCGCGCGCATGGAACGTCTGGTTCCTTCCCTCTTTAGGCACGATTAAATGCGATGAATAACCTAGATTCGTTCTCTCTTTAAACGCGATTGTACGATCGAGATCAAATCACAATGAACAGTTCAGATTCATTTTCTCTTTAAACACGATCGGACGATCGAGATCAAATGTAATGAATAGTCCAGATTAATGCGAGACGACTATAAATATCTCGCATCTCACTAAATCCAAACTCTAGCCGCCAGTCTCCCGCCGAAGAAAAAGAACCAGTTGCTAGAGAAATGAGCTGTCCGCCGCCCGCCGCCATGCCAGAGCCACCTCCGACTATCAAAAAGGTAAAAATTCTCTCATCTGCTTGGAATTTAATTCCAAGCACTCCTATGACCAAATTGGAGCAAAAGAAGTGGCGAGTAAGCCGAAAACTGCGGGCAAAATCCAAAACCTCCTCCGATGAGCTTCTTCTCGTTTTTCGTTTCGTATAATTTTTTAATCATTGTGTTCACCGTTCTGTATTTTACAGGTTGACCAAAGAAAAAGTCTAGCCGTGAAGGTGAGTTGGTGGAGCCACCCTATTAAAAAATTCCACCACCGATAGATTTCTATTTTTTAACTTTTTTCAGTCAACCGATGCCCCATAACGTGTTTTTTCACATGGATGAATATAAAATCGGCCGAAACTAGCCAACACTGACTGAAAACGGCCAAGCCGAGGCAAACAGTCGGAAACCGGTTAGTCATTTATTTATTGTCCTGTTTAACTAATTATTAAATTTACAGTTTTAAATATATGATAATATACTGGAATGGTTAAATGATTCAATTGTGCTTCCTTGATATATATATTACTTGTCTTGCGTGATTTACGGTTGATTTGTGAAATTGGTAATTAATATACAAACTAAAAATTGTTTGGTCATATGAATTAATGAATGATAACCTTACTGGATATCCTGAGAGATGATGGACGAACCGAGTATATAAAAAATCGTACCGTAAACGTTGTCTTATACCGAATGGGGTATCGAGAATTAGTATTTTGGCACTCATACTGGATGGAGTATAGGGACGGCCCTGTGCGCCCCCCAAGGATACTAGTAAACAAATAAAAAAGAGAAAGTGGTTGTTATTGCTCACTCAAAAATGAGATTGAAATGTTATTTGAGTTATTATCTTTATAAGTTGATTTTAAAAATCTCACAACGGTAAATATATACAATAAATGATTTTCTTTATGATAAATGAATTTACTTAAATAAAGAGCTCTATTGGTTATTTTTATAATTTTTACCAACTTTCAGTTTCTGTATCGGTGAGTAATGTGATATTCTTATTGGGCTAGTAGAGCTCACCATTTCATTAACTATTTCAGATCAAGATGAGCAAAATCCAGATCCTGATCAACAAGAGGATTGTGAATAAGTCCACCACCCAGATTCCCTTCAGAACCTAGTTAAGGTCATGCTAGAATGCTCGGTTATTTGCCTTTTATTTATTTCTTTGATTTATATTTGTTCTTTTAGAAGGGACATTTTCGTAACTCTATTGGACATTCTAAATTATTATGTAAGAAATGTGAACAGTAAACTCTATTATTTCGCTTCCGCATTTAATTGACCTCATTACCATTTAATTTCCGGACCTTTACATCCTCTTTCAAGGCTTTCGAATTTTAGCCCAATACCTTTTTCTTCATGGATCCATTGTTGAACACAAGCTTGAGGTCTTGTTTGAGTTTCTTGCCACATGTTCTTATGATATTATATTCAAATAGCAAATGCATCTTGAGTTAGGTCCATCTTAGGGTCATCTTCTTACTATCCATGAGTAGCTTCACTTGGATTTTGATCTCCTCTCATATGGCCCAAACCATGACCCCCAAAGCTCATGTGGCCATGAGCTCCCATGTAGTTGTGAGCTTGAGTTATGTTTTTATAGTGAGTTCTCATGTGTTCTATTATGATTTGTGCCACTTTGATCTTCATCACTATTGTTTACTTCTTAATTGAGGTTGAATATCAAGTTGTTATCTGTACTGTATCCAAACTGTCATAAACTCAATGACTCCTCTCTAAATTTTAAGGATCCATTCGTAGACCTCTGGTGATCGCTGTAATAACATTGATACAAACTATTTTGTGTCAATCTAATATTCCATACAGGGTTAAAACGCATTGCTCTATATCATTATATTTTTTTTGATAAAAATTTCAAGTAAGGTAACTACAAGTATCTTATACCTTCAGTAAATATCAACAGGGTAACAACCTCAAAAAACTAGTACTTAAGACTCCGCACCAAGGATTTTTTGTAAGATTGGTATTTCTTGCAAAAACTTAATCTTGAAGGAGTATGTTGGGTCAGTAGAATGCTCAACATAGTACGACTCCTTAAACCACCAATTCAATAATTCATTATCATCCTCATGTTCAAAAAGTTTAGCTAATTTCAACTTAAACTAACATTGTTTAACTAGTTATCCTTGTAATCTTTTGTATTTCATAGTTATCCTCGACTAGAAATGCCAACAAGATGGGTTCATGACATATTACATCATACCCAAATCACGATGTGCCTTTATAAAATACGAACCCAAACTTGACCCACCTAGAGTAGGTTTAGAATTTTGTTTAAATTTTTTAAACTGTGTTAGATTTGTATGTTATCCAATATACATTTAACTCGGCTATTTTACTATATTAATGTAGATAATTATATTTTTATATCTTTATTATATTTAATGTAAATATAATTATATTTTTTATAAATATAATTATTTATATTTATATTAATAAAAATAAAATATATATACTAAGTTGGGTTCAGGTAGATTTTGATAGGCTAAACCCAAGCCTACCTTGCCCCAGTACTACAAATCAAACTCAATCAGACCAAACTCGTTATTAGAAAGAAAACAAGTATCATTGATTAATTTAGGACAAGTCATATTCGATGAGTTTGACCTATTTATACTCTATATATTGCAAATTTTACTCTTGATCAATGTAAATGAAAATTTAATTTCATTCCTTTGAGGAGAATCTTACTTTCACCTTTTCAATCATTGGCCCTAAAGACTAAGTTGAAAAATAGAGTTGCTGATCACTCCCAATCCAACTACCACTCCAGCACATACTAAGCTAGTTTCTTTTTTTTTTTTTTAAAAAAAAAGAAAAAAACCAAGTTATGCAAAATTAAGCATTCTGAACTTGACATACTTGTATAATAAATTATACATATGTAATTATACTATTTATATATCGTTCATGTATTAAGGTTATTTAAAAATTAATATGTATGTGGAATATGTTTATTACTTTCTACTTAATTAGGATCTTATATATATGGTGTTATTTATTTATTATGTATTATATTTTTAATATTCTCTTCTATATATTATTTTAATTAATTAACTTATTTTTTTATTTTCTAAATTTTTAGATGGATATAAGAACTTCTGTTTTGATTTTTTTTTTGACACATAAATAAGATACTTTATCTTAGTTATTCGACAGATTTTACATTATTCAAATATTGATATATTTCCTTAATTGTTGAAATCTCCCAATTTTGGTTCTCATTGTCTTGATAAAGTAGCATATCAAGAATTTTATATTTATATTTTTTAAATTTATGTTAATTAATAATAAAAATAATAGATGTATAACTTTTATGAATAAATACACACAATTAACTATAAAAAATAGAAAATATTTTAATGTAGAAAAGAGAACCAAAGGCTCTTTTTGATGCATCAAAATATTTTTTAGTTTTATTCTCTAAAAATTTATGTGTTTACACCATGTTTTTATTTGTATAAAAGATGCATAATTGTGAAGTAAAGGAAGCACAAATGAAATAAATTTTTAGAAAATATCAGATTTAAAATTTTTCAGTTTGATTGGTATTCTATTAATTATTAATTAACTTCTGAGTAAAATACATATAAATTTAGCAATGTAATGTTTTAATATATCACTTCCTCTTTTATTATTCATATTTATAATCAAACCATCTTACTCATAAATATACAAACAATGAAGGTTAAGTTTAATCTAAAAATGAGATGCAGAGATTATCATTATGGAAAGAAATTAAAAGAAAATTATTGGATTAAAATGCTCATAATTAATGCTTAGAGTTGTTACAAATAAAGTCCCTCTTGTCCTTTATGCTTTTCTTGACACCGAAGCTTCCTTCCTACTCAATGAGTGGAATCTCTAGTCAACTAGATTTTTTATTATATACGTACATATATATATATCCAAAAGCACATACTTTTTTTTTTTTTTTTTCAAACAGGTTTATGCAAATTAAGAAAACTTTTTTTTACTTTTTCCCCAATTCTGATAAAATTATAGGTTTAGGTTTTTTTTTTTGTTATAATTATTTTAACTAAAAAAATTTATCTGTTTCAAAATATTTTTTTTTTACTTAAAAATATAATATTTTTATTAAAATTAAATTAAATTTTAATT